AAATAAAAATTAATTTGTTAAAAAATAAAGTGTTTGTCAAAAATAAAGTTTTATGAAAAGTTAGTTATAAAACATGTTAACGCGTAGACAAACAATGTAAATGTGAAGATGTGTAACTTAAGATATAAATTCAAAAAGTATTGTAAAAAGTATTTTTGTGCTTCAAATATCTATATAAAGAAAACAAAGAAGTTATATGCAAATACTGTGTGTCTAAGGTATGTCTATGATCAAACTCTGAGTAAGATTGAGATAATATAGATTGTGTTATAATTTTTTTAACAAATTTTTAATAATGTCATGAACGACACGCGCGAAAATTAATATCTTCTTTCTTTCTAAATCCTGATTAATTCTTAGTAACTTTTAATAGCGTATTAATAAACAGGAGATATAAAAACATGTGGAAAGCGGGCATGAAAGTCGCCAGCAACGATATTGAATCGGTCGTGCCTTTTCAATCACCGCGTGTAACAGGTCGTTGTGTAGTGGAATTTTTTTCCAATAATAATTCACCTGAGATATCGTAGGACGCAATTATACATGATATAAATAGATTCTTAATGGGTGCGTTTGAAATGTGCAATTATTGTACGAACGATCGTTTTGCATTCAATTAACTCGTCGTTTCTTTATCCTCCTCGCTATCTGGCCAAGTATATGCAATGTAAAAATAATTTGCGCGTATATTTATCGATTTTTATGACTCTTGTTTATTCACCACTGCTTTAAAATTATAAAATAAAAAATATAGAATAAAAATTTTGCAAATTATATTTAAATAGAAATAATTTTGCAATAAAATAACATTTGCAATCGATAAAATAGACTTATAAAACATACTAAAAGCTATTTTCTCATTTGGGAAGAAATTAAATCATATTTATTTTTAGAATAGAAATAAATATAATATAATTTTTTCTAAAAGAAGAAAATAATTTTCAGTATATTTTATAAGTTTACTCTAATCCTTATTATTAATTTGACAGTTTGTCGTAACTGTAAACTGTAATTTATTTCGTTTTTGGTTATTTTTATTTTTCGACTATTACTTGTATTGACTATCTCTTTTTTGTAATTTTTATTTTTTAACGATTCTGTTTCTAACATTTGCCTTCTGGGCAAGAAAATATCTGGGTGCACCCAAATGATAATTCTGAACGCAGCTCTAAGTGCCTTATAAAGAAACAGAAATTGTTTGCAAACGATCGATTGTTAATTTGATTGATAATTGAATGATTGATAATTTCTCGATAATCTGATGAAAATCAAAAAGTTCGAGTTGTTTTTTATCTTGGAAAATTATCTTTGAAAAATCAAAAAATCAAAAATATATATAAATTGTAAAAAATATAAATTTGTTACAATAGCCTATGATAATAAAGGCAAGTACCGTCACTCTGATAAAAAAAAACTCTTCGACAAGGCCATACAGTTATATTTTACAACATATTGAGAAGAATGCTTGTCAGAATAGTATGAATATATGTAATAAATATAATAGTATTGTTCGTTTTGTCTTTCAGGAGCTGCTCGGAATCGCTTCGAACGAATCCACTTGAAATGTAGGATATTTCAAGTACTCTGGATTCTTATTCAGAACAATCCCGAGCAGTTCCTGAGAGATAAAACGAACAATACTATTATATCTATTACATACATTCACATTATTCTGACAAGCATTCTTCTCAATATGTTGTGAAATATAACTGTATGGCCTTGTCGGTGAGTTTTTTTTTAGAATGATGATACTTGCCTTTATTATCATAAGCTATTGTAACAAATTTATATTTTTTACAATTTATATATTTTTGATTTTTTGATTTTTCAAAAATAATTTTCCAAGATAAAAAAACAACTCGAACTTTTTGATTTTCATCAGATTATCGAGAAATTATCAATCAATCAAATTAACACAATCGATCATCCAATCGTTTGTAAGCAATTTCTGTTTCTTTATAAGGCACTTAGAGTTGCGTTCAGAATTATCATTTGGGTGTACCCAGATTTTTTTTAACATTCGTGATATATACAATAAGGATAAAACGATATTTGGACGCACCCAAATGATGATTTTTAATGCAGCCCAGGAGGCCTCATCTGACATAATCTTCATGTACAATTTATAACTTCTTCTATCACTGTTCCTCATTTTATAATATTTCTGCGTTTATTTTAATCTGACTGAAAATGGTTCAATATTATAATCGAAACATATAATATTAAAAATTATATTGTTCAAATTTAATTACACTGCATTTTATGTTTTAATTTATTTTTTTTAATGATTTTTGTAACTAACTTGATGACTTTTGTAATTCTTATATGCCCTTTCTATTACTTATATTATTATTTGACATTAAAAGTCCTTGATTTCAATTAATTTGTTTAAATTTTTTTGTGCGCCACGGCCCTAATTTCCAGATGTATGTATAGTTATTTATTAATTAATGAAACAAAAGAAGAATTTCCGCTATATTTTACAAGTCGATTCTGGCTGTTTTTCAAAATTTATTGCTAGTACTGAAAATCTACAGTACACGTGACGTAAATTTTCACTAGATTTTCAGTACTGGCAGTAAATTTTGAAACACAGTCTCTATCGATAGTAGATTGTAAGTGTTGTTTTGTTAAAACATATTTCAATATTAATATATTTTTCAAGAATTTTAATTGTGTATTTTCTCGCTTTTAACGTTTTAACTTGATTGTGAGATAGTAACAGTGAATAAACGGGAACCTTAAACATTTTGAGGAGTAATTGCTTTTTGATTGAATTGCTCTATCTCTAAATTTATGTATTTATTATCGTGTTTTTTAAGAAAAAAAATTTGCTATTAGAAATCTCAGTAATTGACAAAATAAAAATCAAGATAAAAATAAGTCAGATTCTACATGAGAAAGATAGAACTTTAAATAATAAAAAATATTATAAATTTTTATATAGGACGTGTCTCCCGAGAATAACTTTCTGTATCTTCTCAGAAAGGATTTTTAATAACAAGACAAAAAATATTCTTTATGAAGTATAAAATAAAACGATATTAAAGATTAAATCAATAATTCTATTTTCTTGAATTAAATATAAGTTTCACTTAAAACAAAGATAATTATATTGTCTTGAAACATAATATTACAAATTTTAATTTATACATATATTTTTACGTTTAGAATAAATCTTTACTGAAAGTCGTGCATGCTGGAGAATTTGGCACGAAACAATGTTCAAAATCATTTTATTCTAGATTTAATAATTTTCATTTAAGAAAAAAATATTCTTCTGTTGACAATAGATGTCCGTATATCATTTAAGAAAAATATTCTTCTGTTAACAATGATTGTCCGTATATCAATCATATTTTATGATAGATTGAAGTAATGACATTCGATTCGAAAATCTTTTCTATAGGTATGTTTGCGTTTATAACTTTAAAGAAAATCCATTTTTGTGCCTCGCCGTAGCAAATGAGCCCCGGAATATCCGTGACAATTCCTTCGCGCAGGAAACGAAATCACTTCTAGTTGTATTAGCAAAAAGACCCCGAATTTGCAAAGGCTTAAACGAGTTTAAATAGTGACCTCGCGCGGTGTTATCCCTGAAACGGATAGGAGCAGCATTACGCTGATTGTTCGGGTTAGCACGTTAGAGCAGCGCTTGCCAGAAGAAGAGACTGAAATTTCATTCTTTTTAGCACGCGTTCTCGCTTAATGACACCCTGACTCACGTTCGTGAATATTCTTAATAATCTTAATCGGGCCTCGTCGGCATAATCATTCTTCTCGTCTCCATAACGTCACTCCGGGAGTGACGCGAGCAGGGAAACGTTATAATCATATACTGTCCAGCATTTAAGAGCAGACAAACAATAATCTACGCATGAGTAGAAAAAAGTGCATACAAAAATCACGTGGACTGCGTTGAACGCGGCCGTATAATTTTTCACCGGTAACACGATCAAGTAGGTCTGTGGTTTAGCTTTTAGTACCATTATGTCTCTGCGATTTCTATTTCCTATGCGAAAAAGATTGTATATTTTAGACATTCTGCAACGATCAATACACAAGATATTATTAACATATTGCTATAAAGCATTCGATTCTTATCTCTCATTTTCTATATCTTCTATATCTAGAAAACTATTCTGTCGTATAGATTAAAATAAAATAATACATTAAGGCTGAATTTGTTCACCTTTTGGTAAACTTCCGCTTACTATCTTACTCTCTTACTCTCTTATCTCTTTATTCGTTTACTCTTTTGTTTATTCTCAATAAATAAATTACCACATAGTTTGTCCGATGATAGAACAACTAGCCCTAAGCGAATATGTTATACACTTCTGATAAGATATGTATGCTGATTATAAAAAGAAAAAATTTAAATAATATTCATTACAATTTATTATTTACAATTAATGATAAATTTTGAAATCTAAGCTGTTCTTAAAATTGCTCTTTTCTTTTTAATTTTCTCTATTAAAAAATGCCGCTCTCTTTAATGATTTCTTCTTCTTATAATTCTTTTAATTGTATAGAAAATCCGAAATTTTAGTACAGTTTTTATTTTATTTATAACTTGCATTAAATTCTTCGTTCTTCATTTAACTGTAGAATTTCTTTATCTTTTTTTTTTTATTTACAAATGTATAATATATAAAACTACTGAATTTATTACTGATTTATTCAATGCAAAGATTCCAAACTGTGACAGTTATATACCTCAACAAACTGCTACTTGATAACGTACTAATTCAAATCTCTCATAACATTAGTACTCAATACAATTTTAAAACATTTCTTCAAATTGGAAGATTCTAAAAGTTTGTTTATTTACGTTTGTGTATCTAATTTCGAAGGATTTTTTTTTATTGTCTCCTCGTCTTTCTTCGAAGTATGTAAGCTTGTAATAATAATAGATGTACATTTCACGAAGTGTGTAGGATGTTTTGTACCGCAGTACAAGTCAAGTAAGAGAATCTAATAGAAACTATCCCAAACAGGATGACGAGTTGGAGTGCATTGTTTGTCGCGGCCGCCGTCGGGATTCTGTTGTTGACGACCGCGACGAAACGCTCGGAAGCGTGCAACGAAGCGATCTGCGCCAGTGTCGTGAGCAAGTGCATGTTGACGCAAAGCTGCAAGTGTGACCTGGTCACCTGCACTTGTTGCAAAGACTGTTTCTCGTGCTTGAGCTATCTGTACGACGAGTGCTGCTCGTGCGTAGGTAAGATAATACCGAGATAATATCGAAGATAATCAAATCTTTCTCAATATTTCAATTTACCAGATGTATTACTGTTATTAGAAATTGAGTCCTTCCTAATAAGATAGTAATTTATTAAAAGCTATTAAATGCTAACTATAACAAATACAATGCACAAACGAGCATTTAACGGATGAACTGAGAGAAAGTTGAAAAACGAATAGATTTGGACTATAGCTATCGCTGCATTAATTTTAGACAAAATTTCCTTTTATTTTAAACAAATTGATTTTGAATTAATCAAATTAATTTTAGTAATCGATTTAATACAATAATCTTTTTAAACTAAGGTCAAAACATTTTGTAGATTCTTATAAAGAGGATTCTGATAATCATTCTGAGATAAGAATGAGTGATTGGAGAAAGATTCAATTTAGATATGCTAAAAAGTTTGAATGTCATTTAATTATGAATTAAAATCGGCGGTTCAACATAAAAATAGATGTACATAAAAGTAAGAATATAAAAGATAAGACGATTTAGATATGATTCCTAATTAACTAGTGTATTAATAATCAACATTTCATAAATATTGGTAAATGTCATACGTGACTAGCCGCTATGCCTGTAATGTACACCGAAAATAGTCATAAATTGTATTCTGATATGATTAAATTTTATATTCTGATATAAAATAAATTATTTCTTCTCTTCTTCACTATTTCAAGCATATTCTCTATAATTCAATAAAATATGTCGATGTCACTCTTGAAATAAACATTGTGTAAAAAATAAAATTTATAATAATTAAAATAATTATGAATTATTAAATATTATTAACGATTTTGAATTTATTGAAATGCTTTGTACGTGAGAGGGCAAACCTCATGGATATCTAATTTATAAACCGCCTTAATCCGGTTTAGTTCTACTTTCTAAGGATAATTTTCACGCGATCCTTATACATAAAGGATGTAACACATTTCTATGAGTGCAGATTTATGCCCGAAGCCGAATATCACCGACAATCCGCTGAGCAGAAAATCTCACGTGGAGGAATTCAGTGAGCCAGTACCAGCGCTCTTCCAAGCACTCACGGCCGAAGCGGATCCACACGAAAGATGGCTCACCTTCACATATCCGGTAGACTTCGACATGACGGTGTTCGCGCCGAAACACGAGAATGAAATGAAATATCATATACGTAAGTATCGAAATTACACTACCGAGAGAAAGTACGCGATTCCTACCACTGAGAATCACTAGACTGTCGACGCATACGAATTGGTTAATCAATTGATCACGCGTGTCGCGTGCAAATAATTCATCAGAATGAATGTTACGTAGAAAAAGAAACAACTTCTTCGCGGAATACGTAGCGTAAATTAAATAACGCAAGTAAGTATCGATGAGCCGCTCAAATAAAATAAAGTCACGATAATGTGAAAATGATAAAAATTAATTAATGGCTGATTGAAAAATGACTTTTAATAACACTGTTTGTCAAAAAGTCATCACTTTTTTCTTTTCAAAGTATTATAATACATATCTCGAAGATTTTTACGTATTAAACACATAAAATTTGCGTAGCATGTTAGGATTTTGAATAAAATAAAGTAAAATAGGCTAAAAAAAAACGTTTTTGTCCATTTTCAACATTTTTTTATAGCAGAACAAAATCTTAATTGTTTCTAAATAAATTTCACGATACGAAAAAGTACAATTCAAGAGTTTTTAAATAAATTTTAATTGATGATTACACGACTCATCAAACTGTTTCAATTTTAGACTTTCTGTATAATTATACATATACAGTTCAATAAAAAAAAAATTACTTTTTTTCTGACGTGTTATATATCTCAAAAATTTTTTCGCACTAAACATGATCGTAAAAAATAGCATGCCAATATTTGTAATAAATTGGGATGTAATAGTAAATAGATGATTTTTTACTTTAATTTACTAAAAATCCTGATTTTTTTCTTCATGTTCCTTCTTCTATCGAAGATTAGCAATAATCAAGACAATCCTAATCTTGTTGACTGCAGCTCTGAAGAATTAGTTAGAACTCATCTCAAACCATTCTCTTAGATTCCGCAATCATGATATCTTCCTTTTACCAATACTTCTTCCCTCTATTTTTTCTTCTATAATATAAAGTCGTAGTAGTTCATGTTTGATCCTTGACTCTTTTTATCTGCGTTCCAGAAATAATTAATTCTTCGTTTTTAAGTTAGGATTCTCAATCTCGATGCGTTATACAAATTCTAACGATGGCATCATATTCAGTACAAAAAAATCTGCGGAATATGTACTATGAAACTTCTGAGAAAATTTAGGTATTGAACAGTGTAATTATTTTGGAACCATTTTGATGTTATTATGACTTTTTATTTTGATTAAGCAATTGCGACGCGTTAAAGATTCTGTGATGGTTAAAGCTCATTGAGATGCTAACGATGTTGATTATAGATGCCATGAGTTAATGATACGTTTTGATTGGCAGAGACCGCGAACGGAGAGGAGCTGCATCCGTTGAAGCCGAACGTGATGACGGTGAACTGCACGGTCGCGTTCATGGCGCAATGTAATTCCTGGAACAAATGTCGGGCATCCTGCCAGAGCATGGGCGCCACGAGCTACAGGTGGTTCCACGACGGCTGTTGCGAGTGTATAGGCGATACGTGCATCAACTACGGAATCAATGAATCGAGATGCACGCTGTGCTCGCAGGGGGACAAGGAGGAGGAAGATGACCTGAAGGACACGCAAACAGCGTATGACGATTATGGTCAGGACGAAGACGAAGATGTGCTGGGCGAAGACGTAGAAGATTAGCCATCGCATTAGCAGTTCGTCTATGAAGCTTTCCCTCGTCATTCTTTCGTGTAAAATATACGAGTATAACAAGGGGAAAAGTGTTTGTGTAAAAGACATTCCGATAAAATTATGCGAGATTATTTGTTCTCGTAAAGAAGTCGTTTTATTATCATGTAAAAATGGGATTACAATCTTGATATTTGTAGTTTGATCTTTGGGGAAATCGTCTACCGTTTACGACTTCATAATAATAAATAAATTAGTGAATCTGCAACTTAGAATTATTTTGCATGAGCGTTTCCCTTATAATCTGATTCTCTGAACACGATTCGCTCGAAAATGACTTTGAATAATCCGGAAAATCAATCGCAACTGTGACAAAACAATTAAGTGTAAGCCTAATTTTAGAGCGTTGTCCCTAAGGTTTTTAACAAATTTTATAATTTAATATACGAAGTCGCCGATTATCGACTGTAACGTGGGAATATACATGGTAATAATCTAAATAATCTACGCGTGTCAAGTGTGAACGTGACCAGGTACAAGTCTTATTGGAAAAGGTCTTATTTATACATGACACACACTGCGATGTATAATATATAATATATAATATTGTAAAAAACAATATTATAATATATATTATAATTTTTTATCAAGTACTCGGGCAATGCTAAGTTCTTTGTATAATGAAAATCTTTATTATCGCGTTCGTGCCATAAAATTGTACAACAAATCGCTCTCGATTAGAAAATCCTCTCTCAAAATTCCTCTAGAAAGAAACATCGCAAATTACAATACCGCTAATAAATTTCCGGACATTCTGTAAAGCAATGCTTGCAGGAACTTTAAAGCATTTCCATTTACTACATGTTATTACGTTTATATGACTCGATTTACGTAGAAACTATAACATCTGATATTATAACTACTGACTGTGTAACGCTATTTCATGACGTAATTACATTGACGTACTAAAACGAACTTCGTTATAAAATAGCATTTATACGATGTTTAACATCAGTAATTATATCGAATGTTATAACTTTGACAATATTATAAAATAGGACTGTAGTCTATGATGAAGTTTAATGTTATCTTATTTAAAAATATTTTATATGTAAAAGCTTAATAGTTATAAAAGAGATAGATCAACAATGACTCTATTTTATTTGACTTTTATTTATATAATGCGGAGATATACTGAATTCTATGTAGTATGGAATATGTATGAAGTGTTTGAAAATTTACGAGCGGTAGCACTGTGCATCTCTAGGGCAATTGATGTACACGCAATAGCGATGGGTAGAACACATCTCTTCAAATAGAATGTGATATGCTTTAGGATCGATTCAGTAATGAGTGCTTTCTATTTAGTGACACAAGTCGACAGTATCATTCTATCTTTCTTAACATTCAATGAATAAAATAAAGATATACTTCTTCTTTTTAAATTTCTTTATGGTTTTCCGATAAAATTACGCGAGATTATTTGTTCTCGTAAAGAAGTCGTTTTATTATCATGTAAAAATGGGATTACAATCTTGATATTTGTAGTTTTATCTTTTGGGAAATCGTCTACCGTTTACGACTTCATAATAATAAATAAATTAGTGAATCTGCAACTTAGAATTATTTTGCATGAGCGTTTCCCTTATAATCTGATTCTCTGAACACGATTCGCTCGAAAATGACTTTGAATAATCCGGAAAATCAATCGCAACTGTGACAAAACAATTAAGTGTAAGCCTAATTTTAGAGCGTTGTCCCTAAGGTTTTTAACAAATTTTATAATTTAATATACGAAGTCACCGACTATCGACTGTAACGTGGGAATATACATAGTAATAATCTAAATAATCTACGCGTGTTAACCCACCATGAAGGATTATAGCATGCAATGAAAATTCGATGCAAATCCGAAGATCTGACGACATCCTCCTCTACACTAGTTAGATCGCAGCAATCTAGAGAATTCCTACTGTCAAAACCGCGACTTCACGTAACGATGTCCGAGACCTCAGGATCCTAAGTTCAGGTCAGCGACAAAATCCTCATTGAACGTCGTATAATACAGATCGTAAATCCAGAAGTCTTCCTATTATCTGTACTATACGACTTTGGACGAGGATTATGTCGCTGATCAGTTCCTATTCTCGAATCTCCATCAAAAGTCCCAAATTAGAATTATTAATTCGATAATCAACTCTATTCTTGACAATAATATCTTGCGAGCCTTTAGTTTCCATAGAAATCCTGATGTATAAATCTTAAAATGAGAGACATTCCATAATCTATCTCATATGACACACATAAATTTAACCTGCTAATAATATAGATTGAAATAGTACCTCTTATAAATTTACAAATGAGTTAAACTCGTGTGCAGAATAATTTCAAAATAAAGACTTAAATTAATATTGTAAAGAAATCTGTTCAGAAATCACTAGTTATCCGAATCAGTAGTCATCAAAGTTTTCTTTTTGATGATTGAAAAGAATTTCGAGTAACAAGGATTTGTGTCGATTTAATTATACTTTGTGTCATTAAATGGAAAGTACCCAATGATGTTTAACGAGATGCGTGCGAAGACACTCAAAGTTCGCGTTATCTAACAGAGCGCGTAAATAACGATCGCATGCACGTGCACTTTGATGTTAAGTGGAATTTGAGAGAAGAGTAATCCTCGTAAATGAGTGAAACGATACTCCTCAATTGGGTCATGCGTACATCTGTATATACGAGTTTTAACAACATACAGAACGTTCATTTTTTTAACGCAGATGGAACTACACTTCGTAATACCTACTGAATTAATAAAACTTTTTAAATACAATAAATGCTTTTAACATTAAAATTACCAAAGTAGTTAAAATGATTGGTTTTTAATAAAAAGAATGCCTCAAATTTATAATGGTACTTTTTTTATATTTTTAAAAATATTTTCACAACTTTTCTTTTCTTAATGTTTAAATAATTAAATTGATCAATTAATTTTCATTCCTGTTGTCCAAAAAATATATATATTTTATTCATTTTATCCCTTAAAAAAGATATATACTTAAATAGCATAAATTGATCGTCAGTAGTTTTAATGTTAAATGCTCTTCTGCGAACTCCATTGCGTGATTAATCGTACTGTAAGTATTACAAAGTGGTCTGTCTGTATAACGTTCTTTATACATATTTTTCTATCTTTAGTTATACACTCAATATGCACGTATTAACTCGCGCCGTCACAAATATCAAACATGTATACATCACAAATAAAATTGATCGCATCTCTATTAAATGAATTCATAGGTCAACAATTTTATCGTGATGATGGTTTAATTTTGGATCACTGAATCATTTGAATGAATCGCGAAATACAGAAAATCTCCAAATACAATAAAATATGTATAAAACAGATTCCTTGTGAATAAATAAAGCGTAAACTAAAAAAGTTTTATGTTTTTCAAAAATAATTTCAAGAGAAATATATAGAGTTTGTTGTATTTTCTCAATGTGCGAAATTTCTTAAAGATATTTCTTTGAAAAAGGACTATTTCATGATTCAGTAATTCAAAAGTTTGGTTGAGTTTTTTCGGATACATTTTGGATATGAAGCAAAAGTATCAGATATTTAAGTGGGTGGATGTTCGTCTTGTATTTCGTTGCTCTCCGGCAACTTGATGAAGGACAGATCGCCGCCGCTCCACATCGAGTATAATTGTGATCTCGTGCACTCCTAAAATCAGCGACGTTTATGCAGTATAAGAAAGAAGGACGAGAGAATAAGCGACAGACTAGTTTCTATGATAACATCGAAACGTGTAACATAACAAAAGAGTGTAAATAGAAGAATGTAACTGCAGCGAGTAAAGCCTGTATGTTAGTAAAGACTATGTATTGAAGACAGGATTGCGAATTAAAAATTAATATTCTATAACAGAATGAAACGGATTAAAATTAAAAGAATCTAATTAGTTGAATTTCAATCTCTTCAATTCATGGTCTGCTACGGGCTTCAAAGTTATTCGTACGCTATCATTCTTTTTTTTCAACTGTATGCATCTTATATGTATCATCTCGTAGCATTGCGTCTTATTATTAGTCATTTTATTTAAATCTTCTTTTTCACATTTCTTGTATATATACGTAAAATTTATCTTTACTCTGGATTACGAAATCCAAAGTTTATGATGTGAAAATATCGGTGTACGAATATCTTTTTTTATCACTGTATATCGGTGTCTTAGAAGGTACCAGTTTAATAAATCTAGATTTACTAACATTGTACTCTCTCTCTTTCTCTCTATCTCTTTCTCTCCCTCCCCCTCTCTCATTCACTCACTCACTTACTCTCAATTTTTTTTTTCTCCATGAGTGAGAAAATAACTGAACTCATTTATTTACCCCGCCACCCGCGCTTTCAGAACCTGATCGGCTGTGTGCCGAGACACAAGAATCGGTCGACGAGCTGCTCTTGCGAGACGGCAATGTATCAGCTGTACCTTAAAAAAAATGTTCGATATGAGGTCATCGTGCTCAATCGAGCCTTAACGCCTCTCGAAACATTCTAGCGATATAAAATATTACGACCACAATGGTTAATGCACTCACCAGCTTCGGTCTCTCTATGATCACAATGAGAGTGAATGCTGTCCTTGCTATCACCGTGACTGCCGCTGGCACCACTCTGTTCTGCAGCAATATTACGACAGTATCAATCCCTTCGCGATTTCTTATCGAATTAACCACTTTATTATCGCGGTAAACGACGATGAGAGAAACCTTACCCGAGTCCCTATGTTCGCTGTGAATACTGTGATCGCTATCACGATGCCCAGATTGATCAGAATGGTCACTAGAGTCCTGAGGCCAACATCTAGGTGAACCTATCCTACGCGACCCCGACCAAATAGCGGAGTCGTAATTCGAGTCGAAATTGCAGGTTGTCAAAGTGACGCCCGGGATATGCTGACTAGTGTAAGCCGAGAGTTGATTGGACGACCGAACTCCTGCACAACGTACAACCTTCGAATCGTAAGATTCGAGAACGCGAAAAACGAGATAGCTACAATTTATATTTAGTTCGTCAAATATGTCCTTTTGATCTTACAAAGATCAGACAAAATTACAAAGGAAAGAAAAGTTTACAAACATATTGAATATTCAGTTTGAAATCGAGCGTTCATCTTCAGATAATTATTTTAAATTTTAAATTTCGAATTTAATTTTCGTAAAATTTTAAATTTTATTTTTCGAGATAGGACTCGGCCATACAAGTCACAATTTTTGACCCGCATTAAAGAATAATTTTTCGTAATAAAAAATTTCCTTCGTAAAATCATCTATATTGTCGTTGCAAACCATCGCGAGGGACTGAGGTTTTGCTACCTGGCTTGCAAGACAATAGCTGAATAGCTTCCTGGAGACCGTCCTGACTAGCCATTGACGTTTTCCACACTGAGTCAGGCGTGGTCGATCTACTACGATCTTGCTGAGGCACCCTTAAACGCGACCTTGCATCCTGGCGAGGCCACTCTATAACATGTTTGCAATCCCAGGGCATCGACCAACGTCTCATCGTGCTCTCGACGGACTCGCCTGACATTTCCGCCGCCGCCGTTTCTGACCATCTCCTCTGAACCTTGACACACGAAACCGAGCATGATGCGATAAAGAACGGTCGCGAGCTCACGAACATGTCAATTACCTGCAGAGGAAACAACGAATATGGCAAAGGAGACCTCCGACAATTTTGTGTGGACTGCTGGGTGGACGAAGAAGAAATTGGCGGTACCGGCGAACTGTAAAGACGTTCAAAACATTGCTGAAGCGCAGCAATGTCGCAATCGCCACTACCGCTTTGAGAACAAGAGCATTCCGCCATGCCACCTAAATCAGCAATTAAAAACAAAACCTTCTTAATTTCCAAAACCGAAATATAATCAGCTAAATTTCCTACTTCAATTTTTATTATATTTGATTGCTTTAATGCTAGGTCACCTATTTTAACACTTTGACTGTTGTGTGTATCCAATTGAATCCACCTACGTGAGTTCAGGGCGTATCAATTTTAGTATTAATTTGACACATATTAGTACCATCTGTATATAAATTAAGAACACTTTGAATTGTTTTTATATGATATATTGTAAACTCTGGAAGAGTCTATCAGCTTTGTCGAAAACTTTTATTTAAAAACATATTTTTTATTAGAAAATATTGTATTTTATTATATATTATATTTTAATGTAAAAAGTTTACTTAAAATTATGTTATATAAAAAATAATAATGTGACGTGTCAGGAAACCGATTACAAAAATCTATACGACAGTCAAAGTGTGTTAATATTTTCTTAAAATAATCTTACTCTTTCATTCAATTTATATTTAAATAACTATACATATCACTAGGAATTATATAATTTTAATAATATATACTTGGCTTACCCAAACACTCGCAACAAGCAACGCAAAACTGATATTGCAAATTTACGAATGTCAAGAGATTTTCTCTGAGAATATCCTGAAAGAATGGAAGGGTCCTATCAGTTACACCAATAGTTTAACAATGAAGCCTGAATGAATATAAATTACTGACATGCTTGTCTCCGTCATTGTCGCGAGATTCATGATCCCTCAGAGCAGTGATCACATGATTTTTAACAGTACTGCTGGCTATGTGCGTAGCTCTTGCTAATTCTTCCCACCCAGCTAAACACTGGCCTGTCAGACGACACTGTGCCACTGTATCATGCACGGAGAGAAGTGCTTGCAGAGATTGGGCTAGTTTTGTACCAGCTGTACATAGGCCATTGAGTGTCTACAGTATGAGAGATTCATTTTATACGAGATTTGATTTTGTGTGACAATGGAAAGTACTACCTTAAGCGTACCAACCTGTAAGTACGTCAACCAGTTACCGAGACATTCATTTATTTCTAACTGACCCCTCGAGATTTGGCCATCAATAGATTTTGGCTCCGTTCCTTCAGCCATAACTGAACTCTTTTAGACAAATTGTCTGATAAAACTCAACTCCGCTGCCTCACGCGCAAACATTTCGAGCACGTAGGAAGCAGACACGATACGCAGTTAATTATTCATCGCACTGAATATTTTATAGTTACAGAAGCAACAACCAGTGGCAAGCCAAGAGTTGATGCATTGATGCAGCGTAGATCCCTCCTGAAAGGAAACAAAAGTAGGCCATACGAGCGACGCTAAATGAGAACAAACCGTTTTTAAATGACAGTATACAATCTTCAAGTACTCACACATCTTCCTAATTGAATTAACGACCAAAGGATTACGCTATCGATTGTCCCGTGGAAAAATCATAATTTTTCCTATTGATACCGACGCTGTCCCTCGGACATCCGCCATATGAAAATGAGAGACAGAACTCGGAGCAATTGCGTGCCCTTTGGTGCGCACTGCGCCTTTACTTTTACTCCACTTGTCACCGTACTACTAGCCTAAACTAGTACTGCGAGAAGCTGTCAGATGACGCTATTTGATAGAATGATTTAGAATTTGAATGATCATTCAGTATATACAAACAAATTTTAAATAATCAAATAGTGAATCCGCCGATCATCAGATGCACATTCTTCTCGTTGAAGAATTACACGAGCATGGATTGAAAGACAAAATTATGTTTTAATAACCCGAGACATCATTTCGTATTAATGTTTCGTTCCTTGCGATTTCAAACAAAATATCGATATTGCGGCTATGCTCGGAATTCTTTCTTTTTAAAGAGATGTTGGAACAATAGAATTACCACAAATACTGACGAGATATTCTATTGAAGACAGCTGATCTTATGGAATTTCATGTGATTGTTCACCTTGAATTCCTTGAAATTTAAGCGATTTATTAGGAGTAAAAGATAATCCTATTAATATCGCTTTATTAAGATCCATATCGTATTATGTGCAATAGATAATGTTCATAAAAGTAAAATGAAATATATTATCAATAATACTGTCGGTGTATTACTAATTCAATATTACTGATATTCAGTATTATCGATCGATCACCTTAAAAAATTAATAATTTAGTGCTAATTTTATGATTTATTAGTTTCGTAAACATGTATATATGTTTAAAACTCAATTTTCAATTAAAACTCGATTTTTATTTTAAAAAACTGTATTTTTAATTTTATCGTCAAAGTTCGATTATCGATAAATATAAAATGATAACTTTAGAAAAAAAAATGTAATTTTACGGCAATAAGATATAGCATTACAAGTATGCATACTTTTATTTATGCAGTATTCATATAACAAAAAGTATTATCCAAATATTTATAATAATAATTATAAATTTATATCAATTAATAAAAATAAATGAGAAACATACGCTGGGTTTTGGTACCAAAAAGTGTTATTACTTTTATTATTTATATTTTTAAACCACTTATAATTATTTGTTTATATCAATTGTTGGTAATGTCATCATTCTTCAATTATCCCCGAATCCCTATTGTATTGTAGTCACGAAAATTTTCCCAGAGTTGGCCGTTTTTAATAGTATCTTGTCAGTAATACGAATTACAATAACCAAAATTGTCGCACTGACTATAGATTGCAAAATTTGTTTACAGAATTATAATAATTAACACAGATATTAATTATAATTAATTATAATTGTAACAGCCTGAAGATTTTATAGATAGAAGAAAAGACGTAACTTTTCCAATTAATTTGTGTTTCATATTTTCAACTTATCTGTAATTATCTGTATATTTTAAAAAAGTGATCTTTCCACAAAAAGCAGAAAATTCGCGCATTTTCGTTGCATTCGATGTTATCATTATGGAAATTTATATGAAGAAGCTATTAAATATAAATTTTAAAGAGTAAAAAGTAAGATATAAATTCGACAATTAGAGCAAGAAATTTAGGACGGCTGTACGTTTAATTACGTGATCAAATTTTTCAATTTGAAAGATTTCAGTTTTCTGGAATTCTATCGATTAACAATGTCTTATATATAGGACACTATCTATGGTTTTTTAAATTTCGCTAATTTCTTATTCTAGAAATGCGACACGTCAAGAAGTACCTGTGTGAGAGTGTGCCTCCGTTTCTCGAATGTCTACGGAGAAGAGGTAAACGTCGCTGGAGGTGAAAGGGGCCCAGGCTTACGTAGATGATTAAAAAAAAGACGGTATACGCGAGCAAGGAAGGGAGCGAGACATCGAAGTGGAAACGCGATCATGCGGAATATCGCAGCGGGTTTACAAGGAGATGAAGGAGAGTCAGGAATGGATTCGAGAAATGGCAGGGAGCCGAAGGCCCAGAGAGGGGACTCTTAACGGTAAAGCCGCGGTAACCTTACTGCGACTTCACGTCACTGACCACGACTGACGTGTTTTTTCCTTGAGCTGATATCCGCCAAGGTAGAATCTTTCTCTTCAAATTTCATAGAATATAATTAATGATTTGACTGTTGACCAAAGAGTTTCAGAATTCTTGATGCGTTTAAGTAACTTTGTTATTTTAATCAAGATAGATTTTAATATTATATCTTGAGGCGCAGTCTAGAACTTCTCTGAGAGAAGATCAGAAAAATATTTTGATTTGTAGGAATTGTTAATATTTTTGAGAATTTAAAATTGCGTCAAAGTTTTTGAGATTATTTTAATTTATTGATATCCTTTTGAATGAAATTCTATTTAGATTTACAACAGAAAAATATATAAATGCGATAAATACAATTACACTGTCCGACACGGATTTTAGATCGAATTGGATAAATTGATTCTTACAGATTTTTTGTTGTTGAAAATTTTTTGTTGTGGATTTAAGTTTCCTTTTTTTCAGTGTAATTGTTTCTTCTTTTATAAAGCCAATATAATAATTGTCTTTTATACATTTTTTTTTTACTAAAGACAAATCCGTAAATAAAACACTTTGGCTCAAAGGTACCAAAAAATGCCATTTTCAGCACTATTAGGTCAATTTTCTCAAAAACATGATAGAACAATTTCATTTACAGATTCATTTTTAGCAACACTGTCTGTAAACATTATTTTATCTTATTCGTAGTCTAGAAAAATAATTTTATATTTGTCGGACAGTAGTCATTATTACTATTATTAATTTTTTTTATTAATTAAAGAAACAACTTTATCGCTTTTATATTTTTCTGTAAGTTTAAATAGAATTTTATTCAGAAGGATTAAATAAATTATTAAAATAATCTTAGAAAGATTTTTTTAATCTACAATATATGACTATCTCAAGTCCTCTTCTAGAAAAAAATATATTTGATTACTTATTGATATCTGAATAATTTTTATTTTCTCATTGTCAGTCACGCTATTGTCGATCGACAGTTACTGCAGTTATACCAAATCACAATTAAAAAGCGATCTACCCTCGTAAATACTATTTACGATGAAACCGGTTCATTCCAACGTTACTGCAAACTTCAAAAGGGGGTCGATCGGTCATAGACGATTTTTCAGTCTAATCCGGTTTGATCAGAACATAGTCATATTTCTAAATTATCAAAGGATAATTGGAACAGGAAATTTAAACAGGATTTAGCATCGATGAATTTAAGAAATTTGGGAAACTATATCGGTTTGCTTGATGATGTCAAGTCGAAACGATACTTCTTTTCATAATACTCGCTAAAACTTTTAGAGTGAATTATCGCTTTGAAAAGTGAAATCTTTAAAGATCTTTTTCAAGATCGACTTAATTTTCACTCTTTAGAGTGATATTCCACTTCAAAGAATTTAGAGAGTAAAATAAGCATTTTCTTATTTGTACGAAATGTTTCGAAGTTTGCATCAAATTTCAAAAGCTCATTTTTATAAAATCATTTATATATTAGTTTCTTATTGAAATTTTAAAGTGAGATGTATTTAATTTTAGAAATTCACGTGAAAGTTCTTAAGTAAGCAAAACAATACATTTACGCAGCTGCATTTTGCATGTGTGTATGTGTGTGTGTATGAATTAGATAATTATGTATTAATGCAAGAAATTGCAGAGAATTAATAGCACCTGTCAAACGTAATATTTCTATTATCGAATTATTACTATTCAATTATTCTCAGAATGTATGTCGATCTATTCTATTTTTTTTAAATAGATTCTGTTGTTTCTTTGCAACAAGTTCTACGCTATTTTCTCTTAAATTTTAATCTTATATGCACAGAAAGAACAGTTTATTGAAATATCCAAAAATTTATAATATCAAAAATAGAAATATAGGCTCTAACGAATAAAAACAAAAATTAAAATTGCCAATATGAGCTGAAATAGAATAGTAATGTGTAATTTAGTTAATTCAGTTAATAAAAAAAATCTCTCAACTTTCCGTAAAAAATAATAATATAAACATTTCGGTCTTGTTCTCAAATTTAGCTAGATACAGATCGAAAAATAATTTTGTCGAATTATCAAAATAATTATGTAGAAGATTCAAATTGATCATTATGATGAACTTGTTTTTCCCGTGTGCTTATTAAAGTTATAAAAATTAATTATTTCTGTACTTGCAATGGTTATAAATATAAAATTATTTCAGTGTTTTTTTTTATATAAAAATTAACTTGTACTTTTTCAAAAAAATCATTGGTTTATTTAAAATTAATTTCTACTTCTCAAAAATATTCACTATTCTTCTCGTGGCATTTAACGAACAACAAAACTATGGTGGTTAAAGATACATATATATATATATATACAAACAAAGGTCTAATGAAGCTAAAGCTGATGTTACGCTACATGAAAACGTAGCAGCATAATGTACGTTAGCTGAATGTAGTTGCTGCTCCGACTCGGCTGGTCGACTCTACTCGGCGCAAAACTTTCATCGCCGTCGAGAGAGCAAAGCAGACCTGAAGCCCGGGGCACTCGATGGTCGACCGGTGAAGGGAACGGATCATCGTCAGTTATCCCGACTTGTTGCACGGCGAGCAAAACTGCGGGTAAAATGCCGTCAAGTTAATTCCGTTGTTGTTGTCAAGTTAATCGCGAATTTTTCGTTAGATTCACGTATGTTCGCGTTAATCGAATGTCATCAGATCCGAGGATGACAATATAATCTTGCGAGTGCGAGCTGACAAAGACGAGAAACTAGAGCGCGTCATGGAGAATCCTGAAGAAAGAGTAATCGCTCGACCATGTCGCAGTTAGCTCGAAGTTTAACCATTCAAATGATCTTGGATTGAGTAATATATTCGGTTATCATCGAGAAGTGACCGTTGGTGATGAGTGCGTAGATAATCAAAGAAGTGTCAAAGAACTAGCACGGGACTGTTAACTAGAAATATCATAGTGCAAAGAATTAACTGTAGAATCGTTAAGGGCCTTAATAAAAGATCAGGAAAGTACAAAACCTTGAAGGATCTAAAGAGTGAGAGGCTTTTAAAGCTCTGGTGAAACACGTCATTCTTATCAGATTGTTCTATCCGGTGTTTCGGC